CCGTATAGAGGTCACAATTTTTATCTGATTTTGTTGAAACTTGAAATGTAAGTTTATAACCCAAAGATCTGGGTTCCTTTCGATATTTGCGCATATCAGACCGTAACTTCCTGAATTATGGCCCCTGTTTGTACGAAAAATCGCGTTTTTAGCTTGTGGACCCTATAGAGGTCATAATTTTTATCCGATTTAAAAAACCGTATTATTATATCACCGTTACACCCTAAGGAAGGTTGAGTTCGAATTCCGTGAAAATCGGCCCAAAACTGACATAAAATGGCCGCCCTTCGTTCTCAAATAGCGTAAAAATAGGGTATATCAAAGTTGTGGACCCTATAGAAGTCACAATTTTTATCCGATTTTGTCGAAACTTGAAATGTAAGTTTATAACACAAAGATCTCGGTTCCTTTCGATATTTGCGCATATCGAATTGTAATTTCCTGAATTATGGCCCTTGATTGTAGGAAAAATCACTTTCTTCTTAGCTTGTTCTCTATCCATCTCTCGAAAATGTGGGCGTATCCTGCCTGGCAGGAAGGTTGAGTTCGAATTCCGTGAAAATCGGCCAAAAATTGACAGACAAAATGGCCGCCGTTCGTTCTCAAATAGCGTAAAAATATGGTATATCAAGGTTGTGGACCGTATAGAGGTCACAATTTTTATCTGATTTTGTTGAAACTTGAAATGTAAGTTTATAACCCAAAGATCTGGGTTCCTTTCGATATTTGCGCATATCAGACCGTAACTTCCTGAATTATGGCCCCTGTTTGTACGAAAAATCGCGTTTTTAGCTTGTGGACCCTATAGAGGTCATAATTTTTATCCGATTTAAAAAAACGTATTATTATATCACCGTTACACCCTAAGGAAGGTTGAGTTCGAATTCCGTGAAAATCGGCCCAAAATTGACAGACAAAATGGCCGCCGTTCGTTCTCAAATAGCGTAAAAATATGGTATATCAAGGTTGTGGACCGTATAGAGGTCACAATTTTTATCCGATTTTGTTGAAACTTGAAATGTAAGTATATAACCCAAAGATCTCGGTTCCTTTCGATAATTGCGCATATCAGACCGTAACTTCCTGAATTATGGCCCCTGTTTGTACGAAAAATCGCGTTTTTAGCTTGTGGACCCTATAGAGGTCATAATTTTTATCCGATTTAAAAAAACGTATTATTATATCACCGTTACACCCTAAGGAAGGTTGAGTTCGAATTCCGTGAAAATCGGCCCAAAATTGACAGACAAAATGGCCGCCGTTCGTTCTCAAATAGCGTAAAAATATGGTATATCAATGTTGTGGACCCTATAGAGGTCACAATTTTTATCCGATTTTGTTGAAACTTGAAATGTAAGTATATAACCCAAAGATCTCGGTTCCTTTCGATAATTGCGCATATCAGACCGTAACTTCCTGAATTATGGCCCCTGTTTGTACGAAAAATCGCGTTTTTAGCTTGTGGACCCTATAGAGGTCATAATTTTTATCCGATTTAAAAAACCGTATTATTATATCACCGTTACACCCTAAGGACGACTGAGTTCGAATTTCGTGAAAATCGGCCCAAAACTGACATAAAATGGCCGCCCTTCGTTCTCAAATAGCGTAAAAATAGGGTATATCAAAGTTGTGGACCCTATAGAAGTCACAATTTTTATCCGATTTTGTCGAAACTTGAAATGTAAGTTTATAACACAAAGATCTCGGTTCCTTTCGATATTTGCGCATATCGAATTGTAATTTCCTGAATTATGGCCCTTGATTGTAGGAAAAATCACTTTCTTCTTAGCTTGTTCTCTATCCATCTCTCGAAAATGTGGGCGTATCCTGCCTGGCAGCCGCTGGTTAACTATTATAGTGAGAACTGCCAGCTCTTTATCTAAACTCCCATAATGTATCTTTAATAGAACGTGTATGATTCTTACTGGCAGAATAATAAAATATAGTCATATAAGGCCTGTCATTGAGTCCAAATACCCACTTGAAACATCAACGCTCGTATAGCCCCCAACTTCAACTGGTCAGATCTTCATGTAGTGGAGATAATCGAATGTTTAAAGAAACGAAACGAAACATAGATCTGTATTTTAATCAGATTGGATGTAGTAGTCCCGAAATGATTTAGTTTGTATTGAGTCGAAGTTAAGTTCCATCTCTCTCTCGCTCTTTCAGTTTTTTAAAACAATTATCCTGTAGTACAGCAGTAATAATGGGGGCTTCGTTTTTTGAGCTTCCCTTTCTACACAACCAAATCAAAAGTATAAATTAAGACTGTTAATCCTTTGATTGATCTTAAAACTATAGTCTGTTTAAAAGTAGTCACTCAAGAACTGCTGTTCACTAGTGTTCAGCGTTAATGAGCTCTTAATCCCTCTCAATAAAATTTATTAACCAACTAATTAATGACATTTTGAACACAGTTCATGCCGGCGTCAAATGGCTCTTTAAGTGTAAATCGGTATGGAACAAATATTCCTATTTTGTGGGGCTGTAAAATGATTGTTATGTTGTAAGGTATTTATTTATAAATTATATAATGCTATTTAATAAAAGTTAAATGTGTAAATTGTAATGCATTTTTATATGTGTAAATCATTTAATGTTATTTAATAAATATTAAATTTGTTAAAATCAATATATTTTTATATGTGTAAGCTATTTAATGTTATTTAATAAAGGTTAAATTTGTTAAAATCAATACAGTTTTAGTCTTAAAAAAGATATGGACTATAGTTTATAACACCATTGTTCTAGGATTAACTCTGGATTAGCGGCAAAATTTGACATCAAAGCCTGCCGGCTAAGTGAGAACACCCCAAATAATGATGACATACATTAATTTGCTAGGGAACATTTTATTTGGATTTGCGGTGTTGATTGGCGGAAAGGCCAGTGAAACTGACAATTTTATTCCGATCGTTATGGAAATAAACGTAATAATTATGATTTAATTATGCTCTGTGAAATACATTACGTATATAGAATAATTTTGTTGGTTATGTATGGTAGCCCAAACATGTCTACAGAATGTAATAGCGCCACTGGACAGGACAAAACTAGTAGTTCAAATTATTCAGTCAGTTTGGCATATTTAAATCAATAGAGGAATTCTAATAGATGGCTTCCGCCACACGCATAACATGTCTCTTCTTCCCTTATGGAGTCTTTCATCGGCGATCGTTTCTTATTTGAGACCGATAACGATGCGCGGTCGATATCTCAATTGTTTTTTCTCCAAATTACCGTGTAGGTATGTAAATGTAAAAAGAATCTCTGAGGTCTCGAGTAGGCGGAAACGCTGTTGTCCTGGCCAAATGCAAAAATAGAATAGACCGGAGTAAAATCGGAAACTGTCAGAGAACTCTTTAATGGACGAGGGAACCGCAGTAGCTTAGTGGGTAGGGTGCTGGCTTACTGACCAGTAGATCCGTGTCCGACAGGAAATAATTTATACCCCGTGCGTTGGTTTGCACATAAAATAGCCTTTGGCAGTTAGAAACGCCACTGCCCGGGCGGCAAACGTTCCCTTATAGCATACTGCCTGGCGTATGTTCATCTTCATTAGTCTGGTTCGTGGAGAAAAGTAGGACGTTAAACCCCCATTTCATTTGTTTAACGATGTTTGTATATTAAAGCACTGAATTATAAATAGTACAAAAATAAATTGTTACAATTGCACTGACAGAACAATCTGACTGTCTCGGTGACTAATGTCTACTTTCACTTGGGTTGATATCGCTAAGAACAATGGCGGTTTATCTGTTTTGTACTGCTTTCTTGCTGCTCAATACATATAACAACTTCACACGCACGACATCGTAGATATAAGAATGGGAATTCATTGGTATCATTCTGCCGAAGTTTCTTCTATCTCTGAAGACTTTTAAAGATATTGAAACTGGGGATGAAAGAACTTGTTTGACATTATCGAACTAATTCGCTTTGAAATAGGACAGCCATAAATGATTAGGTCTGATCAGACCACATCCATCAAAGATGATTCCATTTGGCAATAACTGTTTCAATACAAGACCATTCTATTGTTGTATTCTGACAGCCATCTTCAGGCAAATACTCAAAGCTACTACTTAGTGAAAATGGCTCTCAAAATATATTCGGCTAATATCTTTAAAAATGGATTTATGTGGCCCATGATAATTATGTTAGCAATACACGTTTTAAAATAGAAACAATGTTGTCATTCTTGGTATTTATTTGACAGCCTTTTCCTGTCAATAATTAAATTTACTACCTTGTTTTAAGAGAATATACAATACATATAGATTTCCGATAAGTACAATAATGAAAAGGGTGAATTATCTACAGAAAAGGGTTAACTAGAATATTGTGATTAGTGTCTCCTTATTGGAGACATTTCCCGTAAAGACAATTTTATGCTGCCGGAAACCTACTTAACTATATTCTTTTGTAGTATAAAATAAGTAAATAGTGAAAAGGATAATTTATCTATTGAATTACTTCGATTAGTGTCTCATTTACACGCATTTCCTGCAAATACAATTTTATGTCAGATAATGACGAAAACATAGTTAATCTAAGTGTATTATTCTTTCGCGGAAACAGATATTCATATTTGTTTGTTTTTTGGGGGGGTTCTAGTTCTTTTTTTTTTTTACAGAACTCCCTTTCTTTATCTAGTTAAGCACCAGGAAGTTTATGTATAATATTTATTGGATGGGATAAAATATCTAACTTGATTAACAATAAGGATATAGTCCAGCAGTAAGGGCACTGGAATCTCGACTAGGATGTCCCGGATTCAAAACCGTTGTGGGCCGAATCAAATCTTGGCAATTGGCTCTAGGGAATTCTCGCTCGTGTTAAGTAGTTCCGCCGTTCAAACGTCCGGAACATAAATCGTAAATGTAGATTTTCGTTAACAAGAAATCGGGTTGTCGGGAACAACATCAGATACAATTTATGGGATTCAAAACGACTATGTTTCCAATTATGTAATGTTTTCTTTTTTTTTACAGGGACGTGTGGCTATCAGCCTCGAAGAACAGAAATCGGCTGTTAACTCAGAAAAACTCAAATGTTATCAGAAGATCGTCTATGGCCCGTCAACATACGAAGGTAAACAGATGATAACGGTGTTTATCTTTATATTACATTTGACAGTTTATATATTTTAATTTTATTTAACGGAGATGATATCTTTAAAGAAATATATTTAATCAAATTAAGTAAAAACAAAAACGGCAACCGCACACGAAAAATATGTAATATGTCGCGTGGGCTAGTTATATAGTGTGTCTAAATATACGCCATTTAAAAAAAAAAATGTTTTAATTGATAAAGATGCAGGGAGCCACAAAAGGCGCGGTGGGTATGGTGCCGGCTCACTAATCAGGGGAGCCTGGTTCGATCCCGATGTTGGCTGGGATAGTTCCTCGCTATTTTCCAGACTGTTTCAGGGTGTCAGTTGTGCATTGCCAAGTGCCTGAAAGGCAAACGCACCTAGTGATTGCGATGGGATAGAAGTGTAGGGTTTTGTGTGTACCACTGGAAAAACGAGACAAAATGTCACTCAAAACACTCTGCATGGCGTATTCACGTGTTCAATATCCCGGGGTGGGGGTGGGGGTGAGGGCTCTTACAGATAAATAAGGCGTTACAAAACGGTGACCAGCTATAAAGATACAGAATATATAAAATGATTGAGTGATATTTTTTATTCTTACTTTCTTGCAGGCAATCATTGCAACACCACGTGGGATGGTATTGCATGCTGGGACAGTATACGTGCTGGCGACGTAGCTCAACAACAATGTCCGTCTTATATCCATGGGTTTTATACTACAGGTAGAGTATACTTATATTTGTTTTAACGTGTCATTCATTTTTACTGATAGTGATCTGTTAAAGATACATGATGTAAGGGCTAAATCTGCCCATTCCATATTATTCATTTAGTTTAAAACGTTATATACGTTATTATTTAGAAATTAATTCACACAACAAGCCCATAACCAACCCTGGCTTAGATATTGAATGGATTAGAACCATTTCGCGAAAATATTATATCAAGAACGCCCAGATCTTATCTAAATCTTACATAATGCTTCTTTAATATCGAAGAAGTCTCTCATTATCTTAGAATAATGCCTAAATACCCTTGTAGACCAAGTAAACATGAATATAGAATTTGTATTTTGAGTTTACCCCACATCCTACTGACGTCCAGTCGCACTATTGGGTATGTTTTTGTCGCTGTTTTGTGGCTATAGTACCTAGTACCAATAGCAATGTTGAGTTTCTCTCTACGTAATCAGATTATGTCAAAGCACTCTTATTTATTATTATATAATATATCATCATCAATATTATAATTTCTTTAATACGGTCGCAAAGGCGAAAATTGTTGTAAACAAAATATGGGAGAAATGGTATCAAATATCGTAGTTGAATGTTACTTTCTAGTAAGGTCACTGGGGTGAAATTCTTGGAAACAAGCATATGGCATTGTTATTGCCCTTGTCCCCTTTGTAGAATGTGTGTAAACGCCTTGCTTGCAATTCATAGGCTTGTTTAAACTACGACGTAGCCTTTTGAAAGTTATGCACTTTGTGAACCTTGTGAAGGCCTTATCGAAAAATTTTAGATTATTGAAACGAAGAAAACTATTGAATTGTAATCATTGAATCTTACCAAAATGCCAATGTTATTACACAGTATAATTATATTGTTTTATTTATGTAAATCAAACTACCTTTGATGACTGGCCGGACGACATGACTGCTGTGGGAATGTGTTACGTTGCCTTACGAACTGTGTGGTATAGTTAAGCATGTTGAAGTTAATACCGTTGTGTGCACCATCATTATATTTGCTTAAAGTAGCTAAGTCTCTAACTCAATATCATTCAAAATATTCCACATTGAAAACACGAATTATTTGTCAATTTAAATCAACATTGATGTTGTGATCTTAAAAGAAAAAGATGGGCTTCTGGTATCCAATATTTAAGACATAGTAAACATTTTACCACCCGTACACGAATCGTGTAGCATAATGCGTTTCAGTGCCATTTGTAACAACGGACTCGAAGAAGGGGGCTAGACATATTCTACAAGTCATACCAAACGGTGACGACATATTCTTATCTGGAGAGCATGCGCAGTAAATACTATCGGTGTAGATTGGAATAACCAAACGCTAGACATTGACATTAGACTGAGACTTCTGGAGTATTTTGTCAAAAACATAATTGAATAGAAATTACAGTAAAGACAGAAACAACTGTCTGTAAATCAGTTTATATACATTCATATTACATTATTATATGCGTTGCGATTTAGCTCCTTTAAATAATAAACCCACTGTATGCATAATATACTCAACAAACTGTCTCAGTAAAGTATATCAATATATTCCAATATCCAAGCTTAGTATTCAAGTTCCATCTGACAAACATGGGACCAACAGAATAAAAGACGATTACTAATGAAATCTCAGTCTCATAACGTCCGACGTCTTCTTTCAAATCATGTGTATTTCTTGAATAAATTTAGTATTATTCTATATCCACTGACGGGTCTTCGATATTGACGAAATACCAATATAGAAAGATTTATTCTTCCATAACATGGTTCTATTTTTGTTCTCGGCGTATTAACCAGCTTGCGCATATTTTGATTTATAAATCGAACAACGTTATGGAGGAATGAGAATTGTTTATATTCAATGAAGTTTATGCAAATATAATTTAATCTAATATTTAATGATGAACTTTAACCCTATCAACCAAAATGACTTTAAATATTTGAAATATAATCTAAAACACCAAGTAATCAAATTATGTTCTTAGTATCAGAATGCAAAAGACTAGGATACATATTTCTAAGAGTCTTTCCCACAGAATTTAGCGGCTTGCTTTACTAAAGTATATCTGGACTTGACCTTTAAATAGACAATGTACTAACAAGAAGTACGAGAGTACTATGGACCAGGAACAGAGTATGACGTCATTGTAGCCATCTTGAAATTGTGCCGTCAGATCAAACATCGGTGCATGCGCAGTTATCCAAGGAACAAGCATGTCAAGTTTCATATCGATCTTACTTGAATTGGCATAGACTTGGACTTTGTTCGAAGAGCCTCGCCCCCCAAAAAAGGAGAAAAACGAAGAACAGGAAATAAATAAGGACAAAAAGAAGAACAAAAAGAAGCAAAATTTGAACAAGAACAAGATGGGTATTGCCTTGGGCCCAATTCCTTCTCCAAACATTACAGATATATGACACTACGTGTACATAAAGATAAAGTGGGATATTTAATTTAGGTTCACAGCGGTCTTATAGTTCATGTCTCTAAAATAAAACGATGTGCATCAAAATAAACATATAATTTTAAAAAGGGTAATCAGTATGACATAAAATGGATGAGCACTTGAAAGATAAAATGTGAATTTGATATGCAGATTTTTTTTAAAAGTACAAACACAACTTGACAGTAGTGTAACAGGAAGGAATCCCTATTGGTTATGTCTGTCAACACCACATATTCAAGTGTTATTAATCTACAAAGCAAAAAAAATATTTTTTTTCTGGACTGTCAATACCAGTTCTGTTGTAATGCTTAACGGGATGTCCTGTTTATATATATATATATATCAGTTGTTAGCTTTAACAGATTGTTAACATCTCTGAAACCAGAGAGAGAGAGAAATGGGGTTTAACGTCCACTCCACACAAACTAGGTCATTTCGGGACTAACATATGGTTTAATTTTATTTCAATAATTCGCTTGCGTGTAGGGGTCTTTAGCAGTGGGAGGAAACCGGAGGTCCCGGAGAAAACCCACGAGGCTGGACAGGCGACCCTACTCCTTGTCACGTACGGTACAACCGGGAATTCGAAACCACGCCGGTTGACTCAATGACGCCTTATGATACAGCGCGCACGTGCTAACCATTCGGCCATCCAATCCCCCGTCTCTGAAACCAAAATGAAATGGGGTTTAACGTCCTACTGTTCTGCTCCTAACCTGGGCTAATGAAGGCGGGCATACACCATACAGTGTGCTTTGAGGGAAACTTTGCCCGGACAGCGGCGCTACGGCCTACTCTTATACCGAATTCAAACTGCCAAGGGATCTTTTACGTGCACGCCAATGTGTACACAGGACCTCGGTTTTTCGTCCCATCCGAACGACTAGACAGCGGTCCTTGTCAGGCCCTCCGTCCTGCATCACTGACAAGGGGAAACCCCGCCGCAAAACTGAAATCAACTTCACAATATATCTGTGACCAAGTTTCTTTTGCCCGAAAGATTTACAGTTGTTTAACAAGTCATGACAATGAATCGATTATAAAATCGCATATTTTGCTGGATGGTCAATACGTATCTCAAAAATCTGATCAAAATCGAAAATAGTTGACGTCAATCGTTTATTTCTGGTGACCTCTCTTGACAGGGGCCATTTTCACTCATTTCTCAGAATGTTAGTGATGGCTGTGTTCTGGTATTTGGAATGACCCTGGGTCGATAACATGCCTTATTGACCGCAACCCATTTCTCTGATTGTGTTCGGTCCGCCAAACTACGACTTATCAAAGCCAGTACGAGTAAGAACTTTAAACATTTATATTGTTTTTAGTTGTGTTGGCGCAAAATTCATGTCTAAATCAAAAACAAAAACAAACATCCAAATACAATTGCAGATGACAGCCTCTATCTCTGTTTTCGGTTGCTGTAAAATACTTCTCTGCCCGCCTACCTTATAATTCAGAAATATCATTAATTCACAAGCTGGAAGGCGATGAGGATCATGAAGGCTATTTTGATACAGACCATCATTATCTCCCGTGTTTGATAACCAGTATAGTTCCTTTTGTGTCGTCTTTAAGTGAACATTTATGATAAACTAGTACATGTACAGAGGTTGGTTACAGTTTGATGAACTTCATACATGCTTTTGTGAAAGACATTTCTACATGTAGAAAGCGTTTCTCTAACAAAACGTTTGGAAACATTTAGAGCCAGCCATAGAGACAAGAATTGACATTAAAGTCAAAGTGCTTTGTGGCTATTTATAACAACCCCACTATTTTTTTTATCTATTTTGTCATCATTGCTATAGCTGTGGATATTATAAATATTGCGAGCGAAATGAAAATGGTTGTAATGGTTTGGGCCCCTTCGCAGAACCATTTTCTAATAATCCATTCATTCTGATTAACAGTATGTATAGCCACTTTAACTTAATAGGCTGTCATATTATACACTTAATAAAATGCTTATAATGATAAATAATTGATATTTTCTCCACTGCAAATAATGACCCAATGTGCACTATTGATTGACTTTCTGTACCAGGCGCCATTCAAGTACATCCTTAATAATATAACATTGTTAAAGGTCTATATTTTACAACCAATCGTTCGCCCATATAAAAGCCAACTAAGTGTATTCCAAACCGAATGAACGTGAGTTTATTGCTGTTACTGTTAGCACCACACTAACGAATAATTTTATCATTCACACTGTTTCGCTTTTATATTTTCCTTAACTTTAAACTTAGATCATATATGAAATTTTAAAAAAAATATATACTCTTGCCAGGACTTTGGAACATGCCAACAAACTTTTTAATTGCGTTTTTGGTATTAGGTTAAATATTGCCCTTTTCTATTTTCCAGTTATTAATTCGTTATAAAGGAAATAAAATAAAATGGAGTTTAAGGCCCTACTGATCTGCAGCGACTGGACAAATGAAGACGATTGACAGCGACACTACGACCTACCCTTATATCGAATTCAAGCTGTAAATTGTACATTTACGTGCACGCCAATCTGTACGACACCATGTTTTTCGTCCCATCCGAACGACTATACGTTGTCCCTTCCTGCCCCAGTGACAAGCGGAGGTGGGGGTGGGGGGGTTTTGCAAGCCGGAAAATCCAGATGAATTTTCTTGGTCAACAGAAGGATCGAACACATGACCTTCAGGCACCGTGGCTTCTTTCGTTAGAAATCCAGATGAATTTTCTTGATCAACAGAAGGATCGAACACTTGACCTTCAGGCACCGTGGCTCCTTTCGCTATAAAGGGCCCTGATCGTAATATGCAGTTACTGTAGGGGTCATAAAGGGTTTATTAGATTTAAATTTGGTGTATTTCTCATATAGATTATATATTCCCAGAGCGATATAGTATTACACCCCCCCCCCCCCCAAGAATAAATATGAATCTCTGACACTAACTGAATGAAACAAATTCTATGCCTTTCGTTCAGGGAGCCGTGGTGGCTCGGTTGGTATGGCGCTAGCTCACCGTTCAGGATCTCAATTTCGCATTACGGTCAAGATTAGTTGCTGAAAATTAAACCGAAACGGGTCAGTCCATCAGTAGCTGTTTTCCATTGACTTGATTGAAATGAAATGGAGTTTAACGTCCTACTATTCTGCTGCTAACCTGGGCTAATGAAGACGGGCATACGCCATACAGTGTGCTATGAGGGAAATTTTCCCAGGACAGCGGCACTACGGCCTACTCTTATATCGAATTCCAACTGCCAAGGGATCTTTTACGTGCACGCCAATGTGTACACGGGACCTCGGTTTTTCGTTCCATCCGAACGACTAGACAGCTTTCCTTGTCAGCCCCTCCGTGGAGGCTCGGTTGGTATGGCGCTAGCTCACCGTTCAGGATCTCAATTTCGCATTACGGTCAAGATTAGTTGCTGAAAATTAAACCGAAACGGGTCAGTCCATCAGTAGCTGTTTTCCATTGACTTGATTGAAATGAAATGGAGTTTAACGTCCTACTATTCTGCTGCTAACCTGGGCTAATGAAGACGGGCATACGCCATACAGTGTGCTATGAGGGAAATTTTCCCAGGACAGCGGCACTACGGCCTACTCTTATATCGAATTCCAACTGCCAAGGGATCTTTTACGTGCACGCCAATGTGTCCACGGGACCTCGGTTTTTCGTCCCATCCGACCGACTAGACAGCTTTCCTTGTCAGCCCCTCCGTGGAGGCTCGGTTGGTATGGCGCTAGCTCACCGTTCAGGATCTCAATTTCGCATTACGGTCAAGATTAGTTGCTGAAAATTAAACCGAAACGGGTCAGTCCATCAGTAGCTGTTTTCCATTGACTTGATTGAATATAGCTGGAATCAGCTATATACTGAGGTACTGTGACTGTCTGAAAAATCTCAGACTAATTCTCTATTCACTTACCTAATTGTAACCACTAATTGCTGTGTTTACTTGCTTTGGCGTCTTACCTTTCCGATATCCAGTAAAGCATCAAATTACCCTCTTAGTCGTTATCATGTGTTTGCTGCTAGGATTTCAAGTTCCTAGTCATACAATGACGTTATCGTGTTCGAACAATTGCTTAACCTAATATCCACAGATCTATTGAGCGTATGTTAATTTATAAAATTTCCCGCTCTAAGGTATTACGGCATGACGATTATCCCCAATAAAGACTTAGACATACATATATTAACTTCATTTGTGGAAATACCAAAGATATACAGAACTTAACGTTCAACGATCGTGTAATTTAGGGTAAAAATCGCCGACCATGTAAAGGTTTATTCGTGCTAAATAGACAAGGCAAATTTAGAATGTCACTTCAGAAGAAAAATTTCTTCTCGATTACGAGCGGTTTCTTGCCTAAGGTTTTTTTCAAAGTTCTTAACATAACACGTAATCGTGTATAAACGATAAAAACGTGTAATTTACTTTAGCTTGGATGGAATTGAGTTAGTACCAACGGGCAATTTTGTGCAATTCGACCTTCGCTTCTAACGTTTCTTAAAATAATGAATAATTGTAACGCGATGTCAGTGAGTTTCAAACTCTGTTGTGATCGCCTGCCTCAAGGTCCAGCTCGCCAGCTCTGGTTATTGCAAACAATAGCTATATTTAATTATTGCACGAGTGGGCGTTGCGCACGGGGCATACTATTCGTATTCTTCTGAAGAAATGGTCCTCCTTCATAAGTCTGTTAGGAATTCAAAGAACGACTACACTTGCATCCATTGTCATTTGTTTATATTTTATTTATTATATTTTATTCAGAAAAGTTACAAAAATGCACAACCAGAATTAATCATTCCGACTTCAATTAGCTATTTAGGACGCTCGTTGTGAGAGAACTGTCAGCCATTGTTTATAAGCAATACCCACATCATGTAATATAATAACTAATCGTTGTACTCTATGAACAATCATTTCCATAGACAATGACTGATAGTTCCCATAAAAAACACCCCGGCCAGCGTGACTTTATTTGACAAATGATGCCGAAATAATTTGTATTGTGCATTTTTTTATAAAAATATTTGAGAATAAAATTCGAAGTTCTCATTTAAGGTTTAAGAGAAAGGTAATTACTAGATATGACTATTTGTGGAGTAATATGGGTCTAAAAATATATCTGAGTCGTTAGAATTGATAATCAACGTGTTTCGTAATAAAATAAAACGAACTAAGGTAGTAGAGAATGTTGCTCAAATTGAAGTTAATTGTTACCGTGGAATCATAAATATTGTAAATGATCCATGAGTATTATTATGTAAAAAAAACAACATTTAATGTTTCCGTGGACAGGAATCTCCATTAAATAACTTCAATTTTTAGTTATTGTGACCTTGTTTATTATAGGATTGGCTACAAGACGATGTTTGTCCGATGGTCAATGGTACGTGAATCCTGAGTTTAATAAATCCTGGACGAATTACACTGGTTGCACGTCATCTGTGATACCCAATCCTTCACATTTTATTGAGGTAAACACGAATGAACGTGGTGTGTGGCAATAAATCTATGGCATTAATAACATGTTTGAACATCACAGGGTATATTCAAAAGTACAATCAAAAATTGTTAGCAATATGAACTCTTAAATGAGTAGAGGTACATGTATTAAGTGTTCTCGAAACAGACACTCATCACTATTTGTAGCCATATGTAGCAGGGCTTTTACCTTGGTTTCAGACGCCATTTGTTTACATATAAAAATACATTAACACTGACTTATATTAGCAATGTGCAATTTATAAAACGCCAGCACATCAGTCAACAGCAATATTTAAAATCACAAAATAATTCTGATTATATTTGAGTTTTAGATTTTGTCTAGTTTTTAGTATTTATTCTTAAACACCCGCTTGTAGTGGAAAGCTTTGATAGTATCGTCCACTATATCCTAACGGCAATAATTCCAATCACAAAACAATTCTCTTAGCTTTACATTAGACTGTAGAGAGAAATCAATAGATTATATCTCTGTTTTAGATTTTGTCAAGTTTTTTTAGCATTACTTGTGTTTGTTTTATAGCTTTAAAGTTTGATTTGGTATTCCAAGATAAAAGCGATTGCGATTTAATATATTTTGTATAAATGATGTTTTTAAGACAAGGATATTTTGCAAATATGACACACCATTTTTATCATCTTGATCGACTCTTAAATAAAGTCTATGAATTCGGGAGGATGCCTTTGCGGACCCACGGTATGGAAGCATTAATTAAACCAAGATAATTATTTTCATAATTACTAAGCAACATGTCCTTTACTTGTAGCCATGCTCTTTATATCCAAAATATTATCTATTTATGTTCAATTATATCTAATTTCAGAGTCATTTAGAACGATTGGCGTTGATGTACCATACAGGATATGGAATATCTTTGATATCTCTAATTGTGGCCTTTGTCCTTATGATATATTTTAGGTAAGTTGAGGTATTTTGGTTTCCTTGCCATTTTGAAATGAAAATTCATATTAAAAACACAAGTCAATATTAAAGGAGGCAAGTCTTTAACTCCATATCACCCACAGTCTTCGACATTGCAAACACAACTTATCGATCTTGTTACCTTACCGTGAAAAGATGGGCTTCTGATATCCAATATTTAAGACACAGTGAATATTTCAAAATTGGCACATGTATCGCGTGCCAGAATGCTTTTGAGTGCCATTTGTAATGACGCAATTCGATGAACGAGACTAAACATATTCCAGGGGAGGATACTACCGATGTAGACTGGAATAACCAGACGCCAAAGAATGCTACTCAATTGGGACGCTTCGCGTATTTCGCCGAACATAACTGATTAGAAATTACAGTAAAATAGAAATGATTGAATGTAAATCAGTTTATATACATTTATATTACTTTATTATATGCGTTGAGACCCATTTCAGTCCATTTCTAGGTGCCGAAGATTAAAGACTAGTTCCTTTAAGTTCAGTTGAAAAGTATAAATGAATGAAGTAAAGATTGAGTAAAGATTGTATAAAACCAATACTTCCATTAGAATGGCGCTTTTTCTCGATTGTATTACACTATCGATATTACACGTGTATCGGCTTTAGACAAAATATGTAATCGTTGAATACTAATCAATACCGACCAGCCTACATTAAATGTGTACACGTTTCGATTGTGTTATCAGTGCGTTCTATTGACCCGTTTAATTGGAAGAATATACCAACCCATCTTGATTAACATACCAGTTTAACGGTAAGAATACCATCTCATCTTGATTAAAACCTACTGCTCCATCTGGCAGTCAACATTAGTTCGGAGAATACCACCTCATACTGCTGAAGAGCTAAATCTACCTATTGCAGGTGTTTATTTTGGCTTCAAATGTTACATAAATTATTTTTTAGCCATTTATTCACGTGACAGGCCTATAATCAACCTTCTAGATGATCGGATAGCGGAGATTTAAACAGATTGAAATACGATCGTAATTTAATGATTTGATTTAAAAATGACGTTGTTACCATAATAAACAATCTGGACTACATCTTTTAGCATCCGTAACTTCGCTCAGAATAAAGTAATTTAAATGAAGTTTTCAATATATTCATTTTTCATTATCTACTTTTTAACTATTATAACAAGAACGACCAGCTCTTTACTAAATCTTAAATCTTACATAATGCATCTTTAATTAATTCAAAGTGTACATCCCTTATAGTCCACCTAAACCCGACTGTTCCATCAACACAGTAATACCTATAGCTGGACAAATACAGCATGACTTGAAAAAGGCGCTTAACATTTAATTAATTAAAATGTAACGAAAGCAAATACAGTTTGACTTAAAAGATCCGCTGAACATTTAAGTAATCTGACTGCAACTGGGAGAGAGAAGGAAAGCCACCGAAGTGAATATAAACATGAATTTGTATTCATCAATAGACTGTGTACATTATAGTATCCATGAATCTCAATTTTATATTATGACTTTATCATAGCTCATTAACCCTTAGGACTGTGCTGTTGGTTGATCTTTTTTATTACCGACAACATCCAAGACCACGTTGCTATTGCAAGAGAATGACATGAATTATCATCCAAAAATAGTATTTGCAGTCTATTGAAGTTGCATTTCTTACTGAATGTTTAAACCGGATAAACACTTTGTAAAGTTCTAAATATCCCTGATTCGAATGAAGATTGTAATCCATTGATAGATGTGGTGTTTAAGATAGTCGTAGAGATTTTGGAGTTTAAGATATTAGAAGCATTTTAAGATCTGGACCTTTCACATTTTCAGATTAAGGCAAATTGGCAGAGACGGATAATAGAAGTTTGCCTTTTAAGAAAGGCCGCAAAGAATTTATTTTATTTTTTTTTATCCGAGCAACCATTAAGCGATTACAATCGTCTGAATTATCCATTAAAATGGGGGCTTCGGTGTATATTTGGACATGCTTAGATCTTTCATTTCCTGCATCAGTCATATCAGTCTGCATATCCTTTAACCCTCTTAAGTACAAATCTTATGTGTATCTTTCAATAAGAACATTCCCCTCTTAGGGTAACCGGGCCGAGAAATTTCATCGTGATTTTCCGGCGTGGTTTCCCCTTGTCATTGCTGCAAAACTGAGGGCCTGGCAAGCGACAGCGTTCGGATGAGCCGAAAAACCGATTCGCGTGAACACATTGGCGTGCACGTAAACGAACCCTTGACATTTGGGATTCGATATAAAAGTAGGCCGTAGCGACGCTATCCGGGTAAAATTTCACTCATAGCATATACTGTATGGCGTATGTTCGTCTTCATTGGCCCAGTCGGGACAGAAAAGTAGGAAGTCAACCCCATTGCATTTGCTATGATGTGTATGTGATAGTCTTATTACACCCCATTGGAGTTTTCCGGCGTGGTTTCCCCTTGTCGATGGTACATGCCAGATGTCTAGTCGTTCGAATGGGACGAAAAACTGAGGTCCCGTGTGCACATTGGCGCGCACGTAGAATATCATTTTGTAAGAATAGGCCATAACACAGCTGTCCGGGCCAAATTTCCCTCATAGCACACTGTGTGGCTTATGCCTGTCTTCAATAGCCCAGTCGGAGCAGATAGTGGGACGTTAAACAACATTTCATTTCATTTTTGTTTCTTATTAAACCAAGCTTCTCTGGAAAAATTGTACCTATATTGTTTTGTAAACATTTGCCCCACTTGTTATCAATTGTTATTGATATGTTTGTGTATAAGTAGTTAAAATATTAATCTTTTAATAATTTTACTCTTTTTTTAGGCGACTTCACTGTCCAAGAAATATTGTTCATCTAAATCTGTTTGCGTCCTTCATATTCCGTGCTGCACTTTCCTTTTTGAAAGATAATCTACTCGTCCAAGGTGTGGGACTCCCCGATGACGTATCGTTACCATCACTGGGAACCATATTTTTTAAAGAAGGAGGAGCGGTAATTATTTTCTGATACAGTTTTAATCAGAAGTTACTGGTGTACAATTTTGTCGCCATTTGACCTGCTTGTATGACGTAAATGAACTTCTGTTTATAACTCAAAAGCTAATCCTTTAAATTAGTGTATTGTTTGCAAATTGTATTTAAAAACCAACATAATCAATTTCAAACTTAACAAATCTTTTATTTTTTTCCGTATATTTTTTTAGCATTGGGAATGTAAGCTGTTGTTCACAACGTTTCACTATGTTCTATTAGCCAACTATTTTTGGTTGTTTATCGAAGGTCTATATTTACATACGTTAATAATAGTAGCCGTATTCTCCGAGAAATCCAGAATCAGATGGTATCTGCTTATGGGATGGGGTAGGTGTATTTATGTTATTTCATGCTGTTAAAACGTAGATGATATGTGTTGTCTCGAGTGCAGAGTCGTATGGTTTCCTTTAGAGCTTCATCTCCAAAGTCTGTTCAAGGATCCCACGAAAGCAATAAGATTAATGCTTAGCGATAATGATTCAAGGCTAGATTAGATTTCATAAAATTACACGAACCAATTGGAATACATTCACTTTTCAATCACTAAATTCCATGAAAATAAGAAAAAAAAAAATCAAATGGCAATTTTTTCATAATGTAAATATTTTAATGGAAAATAAATGGGTTGCATTATCATTTTCTTTTTATTCCCTGTGATATTTAGATTCGATTTTACGTAAGGTAATATCCGTGCATCCATATACATGGAATTTATCTTTTTTCCTTTGTCTATACATCCATTTCTGGAACTGTCACAAAAGCCAGTGTATAATGCATGCGTTTAGTTATATTAATAAAGAAAAGTGTAGTTCTCTCCAGATATATCGAATCCTGAAATTAGTCATATGTCTTCCTTTAACGTTTTCACGTTACAAAACATTCAATCATTATATTTGTGAAGCCGGGCTAAGCTGGTTTTTGAATAATGTCGGTCATGGAAGTAAAGGTCGTGATGACTTATGTCATATCCGACAATTTAAAGCAAAATTGGCACTAGATTATGATTACCTTATTTCCAGCTTACAGATTCATTAAGTAAGATTTTTCTTTTGGCCCCAATGATCGTTGGTCACAATGATCGTTTTTAAGGCTGTGTCTCTTGAAAAATATCAGAATATGTAATAGTGGCTGTAATAGCTCCACTGTAATGCTGTCTGCCATGCAGAAATTAAATACTTAAAGGACAATATTGGTGTCAGTCATTATAAAATGTGTGATAGAGCTCGTTAAATACACCCCAAATATAATTTTAACACAGAGATCATTGCTACGAGAGATGTCTAACAAGCACGTGAAGAAACGGGAAGTGACGTCAAACATGACAAACATGAGTTGTCCTTCTATATAACTGACTGAAGTAACGAGCGGTAACAGACAAACGATCGAATTTCATTTCACTGATAATTCCGTTGAAGATGAAAACTCGTGTTTGTCAGGTTTGGCGTCACTTCCCGTTTCTTCACGTGCTTGTTACACGTCTCCTGTAGAAATGATCTCTGTGTTAAAATTATATTTGGAATGTATTTAACCAGTTCTATCACATATGTAATAATGACTGACACCAATATTGTCCTTTAAAGGAGAGCAGCGTAGGTGGGTCTGATCAATCACCATATGCATGGAAGACATAATAACAATAATGTTCTTGCCTGGTAAAATATTAATTTTGAAATTTTATTATTCTTTTTCAGTTGGGCCGTTAGTATTTGTAATACCATGGATGTTTGTCAGACTGTTTGTTGAAAACACGCTGTAAGTAAACTTTTATTTGTTTTTCGACCATGAACTGGTCCCCAAGCGCCACCCATCTTCTTGCTCTTGTTCTTGGGGCAGATACTCTTCGAAGAAAGGCTTAAGGCTCGCCAATTAAATTACGATCGACATGAAACTTGTCACGCCCGTGCCTTGGATAACTGAGCATGAATTGACGAGAATCCAATTTAGATATGAGGTCATAATTCCGAGACGACTGTTAAGACGCCGTAGTCAGTTACTGGTTCATATAGTACGGTGGTATTTGTTTTTTTTTTACGAACACGCCAAGTCCTTCTGTCCTCAATGAGTAAGACGTTGGCTCGCTAGCCTGGAGGTCCCGTGTTAGACCCTGGTGTTGGCCAAGAAAGTTCATTGTGATTTTCTGGTGTGGTTTCCCTTCAGTGGTGCGGGACAATGTAGAGACCTTTGGATGGGACGTAAAGAGTAGGCCACAGTGTCGCTGTCAGGGAAGAATGGCCCTCCTAGCACACTGTATGGCGTATACCCGTCTTCATTAGCCCAGTTGGTGCACAACAGTATAGGGCGTTAGCCCGATTTCATTTCATTTCCTATACAAAAGGTTCAAAAGTTAGTGCACTTCGTCCTAGGATAAAGTAAGACTATATTATGATTGATGCTGATATAATTGGTTAATATTTCAGTTCAGTTTAATAGATATTTAGATAACTTCCGCAATAGATAAAAGAATTCCACAGATTGCTTCTACTCACACCCTACGATAATCCCACAGTATGAATTCAGTATGATCCACTATCCAACACTATACGATTACGAGAGCCACGGTGGCCCAATGAGTAAGTGACTCACTAATCAGGAGGTCACGGCTTGGCTTCGAACCCGTTGTTGCCCGAGATAGTTACTAGGGATTTGATTTTCAGCGTGATTTCCCTACTCAGTTTTTGTGGACAGATGCATGGCAGTAAACAACGTCTGGTCGTTCTAATGGGTCGGAAAACGAAGGTCCTGTGGGCGATGGCTTCGATAAAGTGTAGGCGGAAACTTCACTGCCCAGCTTCATTAACCCGGTTGGCGCAGAAGCGTGGGGCGTTAAATCCCCATTTCATTTCGTGTTTAACGATTATGCGGCGGAGAAAATGCTTTTCTTCGAAGTGTGTAAAGTTGATCTCGGCTTTCGTAACCATGTCCGTGAGGGCCAGTGGGTCAGTTTGGCTGAGTATTCTGATTTCAACTCTAACTCTATGTTGACGCTGAATTGGCGCTCGGTTTGGCACAGTTGTCAAACTCAAGAATTAAACTGTATATTGGTATTCAATTTATGCTATTACAGTTATCATATAAAGACACTTCGTAAACATGGCTGCTGGATAATAATAAATAAGCCTAGCCAAAAGGTATCTGTAATGTGGGGTAGTAACTCTTACTTCGAACAAATGATTTCCAATACTGACACTTCCCTTATTACGATTTCTAACGCAATATAATTACAGATATCAAGCCTACAAACACCATATTCAAAAAAAAATCTTCCTATTAAATCCATTTAAGAACAGAAAGAATGATACCTGCATGAGTCAGATGATATGGATACGCAATCAAAGCGGTTTCCCGTGATCTACGCATGCGCGAGCAGCCGAACCAAACGCAGTTGCTGTTAGTCCAAACATTTAGAGCTACCGAACTAAAACATTTGGGAGAAGATCTAACGTACATTTTCATTTTATCTTACATTGTACTACCGTATCTTTAATCTAGATTACTATTACGTCAATCATGAGGAAATACACACGTGTTTTGCACAATACGAATTTATTTCATTATGCTCAACCTTTTCAGGTGTTGGAATACCAATCCTACGCCGGCCTATTTCTGGATAATGAGATCAGCCATCGTATCTTCAATCATAGTAAGTGAATGTTTATTATTTACACACCTTGTGGTGTTATTTTCTTTGGTCTCCATGCATGTTATGAAACGTATCAGCCTATTGTGACGTCATCAGAGGGTGATATCTGATATCGGCCAGAGAGAGAGAGAGAGAGAGAGAGAGGGAGAGAGAGAGGGAGTTTAACGTTAACTCGACACTAACATATGGTTTATTTTTTTTATTTCAATAATTGGCTTGCGCGTAGGGGTTTTTAGCAGTGGGGGAAACCGCACGACCAGGAGAAAACCCACGAGGTTGGACAGACGACCTACTCCTTGTCACGTACAACCAGGACACTGGAGCAATAAAAAAAAGCTTCACAGGCTTGGCTTATAGGAACGAGATAGCAAAATATTATTTAATTTATATTGTCTAAAACACATAAAGATGGAGTGAAATTCATCAAAAGCAATGTAAATTTTAAATGACCATAATTCATAATTGGTTGCTTTGAATAATTTTCGGCACAAAATAGTGTTGCTTTTATTCTCTAAAAAAAGTACGTCTACACTTTTGACGGTGCATGGTTCTAAACTTTATTTTTAATCATTATTATTATTTACTAGCTGTTTACGTTGCATGGGTAGTTCCCTGCAACGCCTCCTTATAGGAGTTTCGAGAAACGGGAAGTAGTATAACTCCTAAACCGGAAGTAGTTGATGCAAAGCCCCCAAGGAAATGTCACTTCCAGGTTCTTATTTTCCATATTTTCTGCCTAACAAACAAACTACAGTCACTAAAAAGGGATAGATGTTGGAGCTTTAAAGATACGTGCTTTATTTATCCTTTATTTGTTCATTTTTTTTGCAGATTAATTTCGCTTTTTTCTTAAATATTGTTCGTGTTTTGTTCACCAAGTTAAAAAGTTACAGTACACCGAAGTCGAGAAGATGTCGTCACAGGTACAGGTAAACAATGTTTTCCAAAACGCTATTAATATTCATTAATATTATTCCTAAATTGAACATACCCACTCCGATCTTGCCTTTGTCCCATCTACAACTACCAGTTGTTACAAAAAGGTAGGACATTTCTTTACCATACCCGAATCATAAGCCTTTGCGCATTGTTTGCTGACGGGGTATATCAGGGGCCATAGGCGCGAGAGCCCGAGGAATGTTAGGGAGGGTCGGTATTTAAATGCCCGATGAAATAACCATTGCAGTTGGCAACCGAAATCCCACCTTATGCCCGCCCGGATTTTGAAGGAGGCCATCAATGAAATGCCGAAGAAATAATTCTCGTTTAGGGAACTCAGAGTCTCAGTCTGCGAAGCTGGTCGCCAGTGAGCTTTGGAGGGCCCTACAAGGAAAATTTTGAAACTTTGACGCCCGCAAGCGCGTTTTCCTGCTATTCCAAACCGTGAGTACAAATGATGAAATAAATACTGATAAACCCTGCAATCCTCATCTATAGACCACGGAAACGTTACGTTTGGGGGCAGGGCGAATAAAATTTGAAAATGAGACAGCCGCAAGCGCGTTATTCTACTGTTCCAGACCGGGAGTATAAGAACTTCAAAGTCGCAAGCCCGGTCTGCGTGTATTATAATGATTACTTATTCTTTACAGGAGACTGGCGAAGTCGACCCTCGTTCTTATTCCATTGTTTGGCGTCCATTATATGGTTTTTATCGGCCTTCCTGATGATGTGTCAGCAACCTTGGAGCTGATCCGCCTTTATTATGAAATGTTCTTTAATTCCTTTCAGGTAAAATTATTTACATTAAGAAATCTAATTCGCAGTTGAATTAGTGCGATCAGTTTGCAACCGTTAATGTTTGATTTCCATTATCTATTTCTTTTGAATTGCAAACATTAATTTGGTATTAAAAAATCCCGACTTTAAGAAATTGTAGGTTAATGGTGTTTTTCCTTTGAGATTTATTCAAAGAAATTAAAGATGACGTTCAATATTATAAATGAAACATATTTTACTTCATTACCTAGACAAATACATTATAACTGTTGATTTTAACGAGGTGGGCGTCATTACAGATTATTTTTCGAAAACAATGCCTACGTGTACATTATTGATTCTTATTAGAATCTAGCCCACATGTTTATTTGAACTGTTTTTGTTATAATTTCAGGGATTTTTTGTAGCTTTACTGTATTGTTTCCTGAATGGCGAGGTAAGACAAAAGATTTAAAGGGGTAGTTTCTAAATATACGAACACAACAATATTTTAATATTTTCTATAGAAACTTCATAAGGAGTCAAATTCTCAAAAGTCCGAACATTTAAATTTTAAAACATCCGATTCTCCTAGGAAAAACTGGCATTAGCCATATCTGCGAAATCATTATTGGAGCAACAGCTGATGACTTACTGTTTGTTAGAATTACGGAATTATGGCAAGAATAATTATTTACCCTCTATATAATAAGGAATAACTCTTTTGTTTCGATGTGACCACATTATGGTTCGATTGATAACTGACAGCAATCCAATGAATTTTGGTTTATATCCAACATTAATCGACTCGTTAGTCCAAATTTGTTGATTTCATTGGATTTTATATGTTGTTTTGTCTTCCTTGAAAACATTACGTCTTCAGAGAAAGTGCTGCGATATAATAACCGATTTCGTGTTCCACTGTCGACATAGCTTACTACATTGCCTCTGTGAGTATGGCGCTGGCTACCAACCCATGGGAAACTACGGCTAGATCTATTTCTCAAGCTCAACTCAAGATTTCGTCAAGGTCGCTGAGATGTAAATAAGGCTAGGGCACGCGATTGTTTGCGAGATTGTAGGTTAGGGTTAGGATAAGCGTAAGGGCTAATTCCAGGGCTAGGTTTATGAGTTTGGGGTGAGGTTTAAGTCTCCACATAAGCTTAGGATGATGGAAATTTAGTTCGTGGTATTTCTTAGTTTTATGAAAATTTTTTACAGAATATACATTAGATTTATATACAAAGTTGACTTGGGGCCTTAGCGTGTTTCTTACTAGGGAATGGGTTTTCTAAAAACGTTTTTGTTCCATTACCCTCGGGTTAGGGCTAGGGATTCTTATATCTAATAGATTTTATTTAACAAGGGTTTCCGGGTTAGGTTGAGGATTGATCTTAGTCTAACTTACTGTGCACTAGGATGTCGTTCAGATTTTTATTTTTAGAAAATATGCAATTATAAGTTTGTGTGTGAAGATTTTCTGGTGATTTTCCTGGAGATCAGTATAATGTTTTCTGATGGTTTTGGATGCACTTGCTGCTGTTGCGCTAAATAGGACTACAAAGGGGGCCATTGCTAGTCGTATCAATGTTCAAACCAAGAGAGGCTGTTGTTTTTAGTTTTTCAATCAAGATTTTTTCTTTTGTTAGTGTAAACGTTTTAATTTGGTCTTTTCTATTGGCGTGACAATGAGATCAGAAATGTCATGATTTGGTTGGTTGAAGTGAATTGAGGCAGGATTGTCTTTTTTGGTGTATATGTCTGACCAGTGACCGTTAATTCTTTTCCTAAGCGCATTTTGATCTCTCCTACAGGAAATTAGATAAATTATGTTTAAACTGCGGCACGAAAGTTGGTCTTATATTGGGAAGATATTCTATTATAAAAGTGGTCGGATATGTTTATGATTTTGCATGTCTGACATCTGCGATGATCAAAATATTTGGTTTTAAATGATAAGTGTATATTGTTTGTTTCTTTGGCGGCGATTTCAGCTAGAGTATTGTTTTTTATGCGACGGAGATATCGTTTGGAGTATCCCACTTCCCTTAGTTTGCCAAAGGTTAGAATACACGCAAACTCGAAATCGCCCTTTTGAGATTTTATTATGCCAGAGAACGTATGTTTTGGAAGGAAAAAGCGTTTAAACAGTAGTTGATGTGTGTCGGTTGCTTTGAAAAATACTTTCGTTTCCAATTGTCTGTTTTTTTTTGTGTTGATGGCGGTGTCGAGGAATTCTATGCTGTTGTGACTTACATTTGCAGTTAATTTAACTGATGGGTGATCATTGTCTAGAATGTTGAATATGTCCAAAATCCGTTTAGTGTATACGTCCAGACGTAAGCCTGAAGGTATACGTGGTCGTTGAAAGTGAAGTCATTCCTCCTCAGACAAATACCGAGTCATTTGAGGATTTCTTCGTCCTGTCTGGATGCTTGCGGGTTCCTGAGAAAAGCTTTCCTAACTGCTTCAAGACCTGTATTATTGTCGATGTTCGTGTACATGCTCTGTACGTCGATGAATGTTAGGATGGTGTGCTCTGGATGTCTTTAAGGTAGGGAGCGTGATGCCATGCTAGGGGTAATAAGAAATGGTCTATATATTGTGATACGTTGTATGATTCGCTGCCACAGTCTGGTAATATTGGACGCCCCTTGGGTAATGTATTAGATATGCCTTGTGCGGACACAAGGGGTATTTCGCGACCCCACGACCACATCCCTAACATTTGTGGAGAACTGGCTCATAATTGTCTAGCGAGAATTTTATACATTGTCAGCTACTTAATGTCGGGTATAATGCTGCAAATAGAACGGAAGTGAGGCAGTGGCAACATTCAGCATTTGAAAGAAACTAAAAGTATTACATTATCGGAAACAAGGGGTCTTGTGGAGCCCCCTCCCCTATCCTTTAAATATTTGGCTGGTTACAAGTGCCTAATCGGTTCTGCCGTCAGTGCAAACTTTGTATTTGGAATCATTCTTACTTATGATATTATGTTGATCATTCTAGTAATCTAGATCTGAAAACAAATCTAGGTACTCTACCAACCCCGTCAAAAGACGATTTCAACATGGAAATGACAATTAAGCTATTTACATATTTTGATGGTTTCAAAAAATACCTTATAATTCATATCTTCACTGTTACTACCTCAAGTATTTTTTTTTTTTTACTTTGAATAAATTTATGTATATAAAAACTTGAAATTTATACACAGTGTTTAGGGTCATGAGACCAAGGATCATAGTCATTTTCACTAATTTCTAATAATTACTGCCAGAGTTATGACCCTTGATCACTTTGAAAAATCTTGTGGATGCTCTAGAGGTTAAAGTTAATATACATTGTTCAAGGTCAAGAGACAAACAATCGAAACAAATTCTAATGATTTCGAATAATTACTTAATGGATTATTACTCGTAATAAGATTTTCATGTCTTGTAAACTTTCCCCTTACTGACAACAGAAAACATGCGACAACCATTGTCGTCTGTCCGGACGACTTAGCTGCTGTGGGCGTATGTTTCGTTGCCTGGTAACATATCTTTGTGATTGTGGGTGAAGGATAATATTTCTGTGTTCATTTCGTCGAAAGTTTTCAGAATGGCTGGTGATAATGAATTTTTAGGTGATTTTAGGTGAATAATTTTTTATACCTCTGCCGGATTTGTTCCTAAAAAAAATAAGTTAACGAGAGGGTTCTTTGGAAGCGGTTGCCCGAGAAATAGGGTCTTTGGGTGTTGTTGTGGGGGGGGGGGATAAATGTAAGTCCTTTGTCAAGAATGTTAATAGTCATAATAAATGTTATGAAATAGATCTAACAGGAAAATACCACGCGTACAAATAAGGGGAGACAACTCGTTACAAGTTCCCAATGTAGGATCAGACTAGCGATTCTCTCACGGTTGACTTTAGCCCCATGCCATATCTTGGTGATCTTATTCTTTGCGACTTCTTTAATTCATGTCTGTTTACTTGCCGACCCCTTTGTCTCAAAATAATGACTTTTTACCAAAACCTGGCAGAAAAAGTAAATTCAAACATACTTCTTCGATTCTAGACCGAAAGTTAACAAAATTGACATGCAAAATGTGTGTGTGTGTGTGGGGAGGGGGGGGGGGGGGTAGGCGTGGCGGAAAAAAGAGATTTGCTATAAAAAGAAGAACTTCATTGGTTCATGAGAAGGGAAGCAATTACTAATCTGGTCCTGTCATAAATCCAATCGTGCCTCGCTGCTACTGTCAGTTTATAACCACTGGTAATGTATAATCCTGGTTCTCTTTAATCGGGAGCCACTGTGGCTCAGCAAGTAAGACGTTGGTTCGCTAATCTGGATGTCACGTGTTCATCCCTGCGTTGGCCGATAAAGTTTATCAGGATTTTCTAGCGTGGTTCCACCTTGTCAGTGGTGCTGGACAGAGGGGCTGACAAGGGACAACGTATAGTCTTTCGGATGGGGGAAAAACAGAAGTCCAGTGTACACATTGGCGTGCATGTAAAATCTCCCTTGACAGTAACCCGTAGCGACGCTGTCCAGGCAAAATTTATCTCATAGCACACTGCATGGCGTACGCTCGTCTTTACTAGCCCAGTCGGAGAAGAACAGTAGGACGTTAAACCCAATTTCATTTCATTTCATTTCTCTTTAATCATTTAAACACAAAGCATAGAGATGTTTTACGCACCTGCTTTGTGTCTGGATGATAGTGCATTTTCTATAAACAACCAATCAATATCAGAGTTTAGATTTTGGCATGTGTATAGGTAACCCCTTTGAATAATGTCCAACCGTTTTTTTCTTGAACAGGTGCAGTCAGAAATCCGTAAAAAGTGGATTAGATACAAACTGAAAACCAACTCCAGAAAGTTTCAGAAAATTTATTGGCAGACGTCGTCGTTTAAATTCGGTAAAAATCCCAGCCAATCGCATTTAGTGAATTCTATTACGTCAGAGCGTCGGGATTTTCGAAATCCTCAGCTTCAAACAAGTTCTGAAGCCAGTTCAGAAGATGAACGGAAACGAATCCAAATGAGTGATGATCCGATGCATAGAAATGGATACAGATTATCACCTACACCAAAGACAATTGAGAACACGAGGCCTATAATATATCTTAAACCTACTGATGAGTTTGGATGAAAAAGTTTATCTGAGTTCCCAAGACGCTGTTCTTTTTATAAATATTATTTTTCTATGAACCATGTTCTTTACTTGTGTAATAGAAGAACTTCTTTAAAAATCGAACTTAATTAAAACTTTAAGCTCATAGTGATCTACTGGTGTCCAACCACGCCCAAGTGATTATGTAACGTTCAAGATTTAGCTGTGGTAGCTCAAGACACCACATTAATGTGTCAGTTTCAGTCTAATGATCCGTTTTGATTCTTAAAATGAACTATATTGTTCTTTTTATATATATTATTTTTCTACAAGTCATTGCTTAATGTCAGTGTGAATAACAATTTGGTGAAAATTAAAACAAAATCCCTTAAGGTAATTCAACTGAGTGTGCTTAGATTACTATAAACATAGTGTACCTTTTACAGACGATGATATTTTTCTTGGATATAAATTTAATATAAATTTGACGACAAGCATACCTTTTGAATACAGAACGTTGAGACAAATTTTGTCATGAAAAGTGTATAAGAAGAGTGATGACTGTTCATTTACTGTATCAACTTTTCAAGCATTGTTTATGAAAAACTAATGTGATATAAACTAATCTGAGGTTGTGATTTATAAAACTTTGAAGAGGGCGAGGCTTTTGTGTGTTTTTAACAGTTCGTAAATTATTTATATTAATATTATTATTGCCAACATTTTCAATGTCAAATAAAAACTTAAGCATATCTTGAATTTGTGTGTGAAATGGTGCCGAGTAATTGTCCTTGAAATCTCCGAAAACAGCCTACTGACATGTAATTGTCCTTGAAATCTCCGAAAACAGCCTACTGACATGTAATAAACGGGAATCCCCAATGAACGTTCCGGTACTGAATTATCTCGATCACCAAAATAGCGGCAATCGAGCGAAAAAGAGATCTCGATGTACAGGGCATGCGCCGACAGCATAAGAAAATATCTCAACCAACCATGAAAGCTGACACATATTTTCTGTGTTTAATTACGTCACTACTCTACTCACACAACCTCAGTTACCGAGACTGAAAGAGCTGTAAGTCATTCGATTGCAATTCCGTAGATTTCACAACTTTCCGCGAATAATTGTGTTAACAAATGATGTAACTGGTTTCAAATCCACGTATGTCAACCGTTTAGCAATGACAATTGTATTCTTAGGTTTTTTTTAAAATTCGTATAAAAGTTGTGCAATCAAGTCGGCCCAGTCTAATCTAGGGCTATATAGGGAATTTTAAAAGAGTATTTTGATATTATGATAAGGCGAAAAATGAGATGATGTGGGCCTTATACAATAAATTGATCCTCTTATGATGTACATGTAATTCAGATTCTTCTATCAGAAAAATGTTACAGCTTATAAAATGAATATTTGCATTTTACGGTAGAAATATTTTTCACATTTTGAGCAGCTTTTCGAACTTACATTCTTCGCCAATGTAGACTTCAGACTTTCCTTTACATAAGATGGTTATAAAATTGGTCTTCAAGAAAGCAATAGATTTAATATTATCATGTAGTTTGATGTATCATGGGAGGTTGCTTTCTAGTCGGATCACCACCCCAGATCCGTGACCATTTCTTGGGGAATAAGGTTTGACGATGGTTTCTGATAAAGGGAACCCTGGTAAAGACATATGTAGTTTGCAACCTCTGAAAACTACGGGCTAACTTCAGGTAAGCCGAAAATTCAAGATTGCTGCCAAAATGGGTTTGAAATTCACCTTGACAAACATTGCTGGCGAAATGACTCATGTAAAATATATCATTTTATAGGTTTTGTTGGTCACCGGACTCAGTTTGCAAAATTTTCGGTTGATCCAATATGGCGGCGAAAATGTAGAGATTTTGCAGCCCAGGTGGGGTAGGGGTAACACTATACATTGGAAGACTTACAGCGGTGTTTTTCAAGGTGTCTGGTATCCTTCTGTTTTTCAGTCAGAAAATAACTGTTGGGTTGAACACTGCCTACCATAGATGGAGTAACATATGACAGCGCCTTGCTCGAAAGTATGTGGGAGCCACGGTGACTAAGTGAATAAGACGCTGGCTCGCTAGCTTGGAGGTCGCGGGTTCGATACCGGTGTTGACCGAGAAATTTCATCGGAATTTTCCGGCTTGGTTTCCCCTTGTCAGTGGTGCATGATGGAGGGCCTGACAAGGACAGCTGCCTGATCGTTCGGATGGTTGGAAAAACCGAGGTCCCGTATACGTAAAAGATCCCTTGGCAGTTAGAATTCGATATAAGAGTAGGCTGTTGCGCCGCTGTCCGGGCAATATTTCCATCATAGCCCGTCTTCATTAGCCAAGTCGGAGCAGAACAGTAGGACGTTAAACCCCATTTCATTACATTTAGAAAGTATGTATCACTATCAGATTCACCATGGAAATCTTATTTGCATGAAGACACATTTTATTACCGCCTTATGTAAAGGAAGGTCTGAAGTCTACATCAGCGAAAAATGTAAGTTCGAAAAGCCGCTCATTTCAACCTGTTAACCTTCCCCCTAAAACCTTGACTACATCCTAAACTAAGAGACCCGCTAGAGCTATCATTTAGTTTTTGAGTGATATTTTTACACGCTTTAACACTATTTGCGTAACCGATAGAGGCCATTTTGACTGGAAGTTTCGGTCCGATTTTCGAACACAACCGTAATTATGGTGTAACGGTGATATATTCGAACGGTTTGAATATCCGATAACATTTGTAACCTTTAGAAAGGATCAAAAGACTAATAAGTTGTGGCCCGATAGGTGCCAATATCGAGAGGAACAGAAATCTTTGGGATATAAACATATATTCAAGTTTCATCAAAATCCGATATAATTGTGTCCTCTAGACTGTCCGGGGGGTTGGATGGCCGAATGGTTAGCACGCGCGCGCTGTATCATACGGTCTGTCATTGAGTCAACTGGCGGGGTTTCGATTCCCCGGTTGTACGTGACAAGGAGTAGGGTCGCCTGTCCAACCTCGTGGGTTTTCTCCGGGTCCTCCGGTTTCCTCCCACTGCTAAAGACCCCTACGCGCAAGCGAATTATAGAAATAAAATTGAACCATGTGTTAGTCCCGAAATGACCTAGTTTGTGTCGAGTGGACGTTAAACCTCTCGACTGTCCACAAGCTAAAACGCGATTTTTCGTACAATCAGGGACGATACACCATAAACTTACGCTTCGATATATCGAGATCTTCATGATGTAAACCTATATTTCACTTTCCGTCAAAGCGGATAAAAATTGTGACCTATAAAGTGTCCACAAACAAAATATGAACGGACGGACGGACGCACAGAAGGATGGGGGCGACGGTATAATACATCCACATAAAAATGTTGGCGCATAAAAAGCACTTGAAAACAGTGGACCTATGTATGTTTACGTGCATTTTCCGTAGAAGAATGCGCACACGGATCAAGTGCTTCAAGGGGAAATAACTTGACCCAGAATAAAGTAACTTGACTGAAATTGTCAATGTATTAATTTATTGTTATCTATCTGTAAACTATTTTAACAAGAATGGCGATGAACAATGTTATTATTATACATATCACACCCATAACCAGTTAGGAGCAAGCCCCACCCCCCACCCCCACCCAAAAAAATGTTGTCGACCATAGTTCTAAAAATACCTATGTTTCTAATAGACAGCAGTTAAATTTAATCAAGTGGAATATTGATTTGGGGACGTGGCACCTGGCACCCAGTCTCACTAGGGACGGGGGTCAGTTGGAGCCCCTTGGGAAAAATGCCCCCTTAGACCCTCTGGCAGGTGGGCCCTCAACCGCACAGTCCATCCTTGCCCCTCAGGGTCTCAGGCTTACGGAGGCAGGGACATAATAAAGATGATGTATACATTACATATACTATTCAAAAAAAGTAGGGGATATTTGATTTTGGGGGCATAATACTAAAATATGCAAATGACGACGAAAAAAGTCACTATAGAACCTAACAGAAGAAACATTTCCAGTTACATGTGACGCCCAAACGCACCAATAGCTACCGCATGGAATGCAGGTGATGCTTGGGATCATCATGGGGGTCCAACCCAAGATTTGCACGACTCTGATTTTGAATGTTACAGTCATTGTGGCATTGAATTCCAGGGTGGAAACATCAGTTTAATTGTTTTAGTGACCAGAAAACAAATTTTGATATGCGTCGGCTTACCCAAAATGAAAGGTTACGTGCCCTTGGCATGCTACAGATCGGCACAACACAGGCGGTTGTGGCGCGGACGATGAATGTTTCTCAGTCTGTCATAAGCAGGCTATGGTCCAGATACCGTGATACACAATCTGTACAGGACAGACCTCGCCCAGGTCGACCAAGGGCGACAACTCAAGCCCAGGATCGATTTATCCGTACCTTGGCCTTGAGAAATCGTGTCATCACAGCAAATCAGACCAGCGCTCGTCTTCAAACAGACACTGGTGTGAGAGTGAGTGGCCAGACGATTCGGAATCGACTGCATAGGGGTCACCTTCGCGCCCGACGTCCTCGCGTGATCCCTTGTTTGAGAGATCATCACATTCAGGCAAGACGTCGTTGGTGTAGGGATCGTCAACACTGGGATAATCGACGCTGGAGCAATGTGATGTTTTCAGATGAGTCAAGGTTCACTGTTGATTTTTTGGACAGACGTAGGAGGGTGTGGCGTCGTCGAAACGAGCGCTTCCAAGACGTTAACGTCATCAGACATGATCGATTTGGGGGTGGTTCTGTTATGGTGTGGGGAGGCATCACTGTTGCTGGAAGAACGGCTTTACATGTTGTTGCAGGGCGTGTTACAGGCCAGTACTACCGGGACAACATCTTGGCAGTCCATGTTGTGCCGTTCGCACGAAGTCATGGCCGCCGTTTCATCTTCCAGGATGATAACGCAAGATGTCACAGGGCCAGAAACGTTACAGGTTACCTCCAACAACAGAACATCACCACATTACCTTGGCCAGCACTGAGTCCCGACCTCTCCCCCATCGAGCATGTCTGGGACATGCTTGGACAGAGGTTACGTCAACGTCAACAACGTCCTGCCAATGTCCAAGAACTTTCTGCTGCGTTGCAACAGGAATGGGACAATCTGGACCAAAATGACCTTAGACGTCTCATTAGGAGTATGCCACGTCGGATCAATGCTTGTTTGGCAAACAGAGGAGGATTTACCCGTTACTGACTTGGTTGTGATGCTGTGGTAACTTTGCTGTTTGACCCCGGGTATCATTTTACCCTTATAATGGTCAGTCTGTGCCTTACTTAGTCTAACGATCATTTGGAATAAATCGATGAATGTGAACTTCATTTCATTTTGTCATTTGTTTCTTCGTCAGTTTCATTAGGTGACTTTAATAACACTTAAAAATCAAATATCCCCTACTTTTTTTGAATAGTATATTATTGGTTATGCTCTGATATCGACCCTATATTTTGTACTGACTTGCCCAATGGCCCACTATCGTGGGACCCGTGTCACTGTGTTCATTATTCAGGGCTCGACTAGAGAACGATATTCCGAGCTGGAAAACTCGTTTGCGGTTGTCTAATTTTCAAAATTTTCTGAGAACCCCCACCCCTAAAAAGTTAACAGCTCCTCCGCTGCCAGCAAGCTGGGTACGGACCTGATGCATATCCATCGCATAGTTATAGAATCAAGTGACGTGATATAAAGCATGCATTTGAATACAATTCATTACCTTATGGAAGACTACAACGACAGCGTTATTTTACAACAATTAATATAAATATATGAACAATATGGCTTAACAGACAAAACGGCCTAATTTTGGTTCACGCTCAGCAGTTCAAAATATTCCAACATTATACATATATATACATATATGAGCAGTATAGGAGGAACTAATCTGACAAATCCTAAATATACGCCCATCAGTTCAAACTATTGCACCATATGGAAGTTCAAATAAAATATAATTATATATATGTTTATATATGAAATGTTTAATTTGGGTTTAAATTTGTCAATTAAATATTGTTCCTTCAATCTCATTTTTATGGGGTCTGAATACGGCATCTTAAAGAAAGGGTATATTTTGAACTCGCCTTTGCTGCAGATATCAAGGTGCTCACTTAAAGGGATCCACAACATTAAATATATTATTACTATCGATTTTTTTGGTAATATAACAGTTAGTCAATTTAAATATGAGTAAAGATCAAACTTTACAAAGACAATTACAGATATCATTATAAAGCAAACTACTGTTTCGAAATAGTAATTTGGTTGCACTGGAAGATTTGAATAAACCCATTCTGTAAATAAAGCTTGATATTTTTTATCACTCTTTTCATTCGTCCAGTTTAATAATTTATATATTTCTCCAAATATATCAGAGATGTGGCATTCATCCTTTTTGATAATGAGGAGTTTGTTTGGTTTAGCTTTATGTAAAATTAAATTCATTTCAAATTCATTTAGAGCAATATTTTGAGTATATTCATTCGATGCTACCACAATGAAAAGAGAACTCTGGGTAATAGCTGTTCCCAGATTAGGGTTAACTGGAGTGCCGGGCGTTATGTTCGTATTTGGGTCAAAATAAGTCATATCCATTTGTTTCATTATTGGGAAAAGCTTTTCTCTAACAAACACCCTATCACTCTCACTATATGAAAGATACGCATGATATTTTATACATGTTTCTATAGGAATATCGGCAAAGTTCTCAATAGGCACCACTTTTCGCACTGGATTCAAAATACACAGTATTATCTTGTAGGCGGTATGTATGAATAAACTTAAAATCAGTAAAACTACCATTGTTATTCCAAAGAAAAAATAGTCCAAGTACTTTACATTATCTGCTAAGGTTTCGATAAGGGTATAGACAGTTCTGCAAATAGCTGAAGTGTTCTGAACTCCTGAAAACCAACAATCAAGATCAAAAATCTGAGATGATTGGTCAGCCCCATAAAAATCAAAAAGATTTGATATTTGTGGCTTAAAATCTAATTTTATCGGAAAGCTATATTCATAATCAGACGTTGCATTATCACTTTCGTTAAAATAAGAACGCGTAATTACGATATCGTGTTTGCCATATAAATTAGGTGAGATGCATTGATTCATAACGGAAAATTTACTCTTCCATTGATTTTCATATGGATCAGTAACATTCAGATTGAATACCAAAAGTTCATATAAATTGATCACCGACAATAATGAATTTATTTTGCCACCCTTTATGAAAATAAAGTACAGCAGTACGAAAATGGAACAGCCTAATATTTTGTTCGTTGGAGCCACGCCTTTAATAGTATAACGCATGGATATGTCGTCTTTCATGCCCAAATGTCTGTAGTAGGTTCCTACTGAAACAAACGTTCCCGGTGCAACAAAAATGGTCATATTTTTTGTTTTTTCCTTAATAAGACGGAATTCAGCAGTCCACACCATACCATTATACCTAAAGAACATGTGTTCCATCTCTTCAAAACTAATTTTCCATTTTCTCTCAGATGGGGAAAAAGAACACTTGCAATAGCATTTATTGCTTGTCTTCGGTCTTTTCTTAAAAGTACATTTAGGTCTTTTCTTCGTCCCCCCCTGATCATTTGGTTGTCTGTTTGGAACTATATGGTAGTCTGTTCTTTTAGAAACATGGCAGTTGTAAACTCCATAATCTTCATCTTGGATTAACATTATTTCCAAGACGCTGATAATCTTAAAACGTTTGTTTTCACCTGCTTGAACCTCACTTTGGTTAACGGGATTAAAGCTCCATCTGATGCGATGCCGATCGCTGGGCTTAAGAAGCTTGCCATCTTTGTACCACAACACCTGGTTGATATGTGGAACGGATGTGTTATATCCCAAGACGGTATCTTCACATACAAATCTAGCATCTTCACCAACATAGCGAGTTTGATTCTCTAGTAAAATGGGATAATGCTGGCCATTCGTTAGAGGATGAAGTTGTCTCTGGTTATAATGTATAATTTCTGGTTCATAATGTTGAATACTGTTATTTAACTTAGTCATAAATTGTTTGCCAATGATTGCAAAACGTGACTGGCTCAAAGATTCATGTAATATTGAATAAAGTAAGAGCAAATATGCTACAAATATTGCGAATCGTACGAGCTGATCCATTAGCAATGCTAAAACTAGCAAAAATACAAAATCCAAATATATCAGCAATGGCTGATACAAAATAAGACCGAACATCAATTGCTAGATCCATTGCATATCCAAAGCGTTATCGCCATTATTGTGCTCAAAATCATCTTTCCGGCTAAGTATATCTGAAAAATAAAAAAATATTTAAAGATTGCGCTGAACTTATTTGTATGTAAGATGGCTGGACATTTCCTTGGTAGCCTGTGACCCTGACAGGGATAGCTATTTGCATGATCTTGAGAACCGGGCCATCTACTATTTAGTTCAATGACATAACAAAAAGGTCTGTTAGTAATTTTATTTATCGATTCGTTTGATGAACAATCACATTCGCTATAAAACATTTTTAAATGTTATTTTTGAGTACTCGATCAATGTTCGAAATGTAATTTATGATTAAAACCCGATTTATTTCATGTTGGAAATGCTTTTTAAAAAATTAAAATAATGTTAAAATGTTCTTCACATTACTATTAGTAATGGAGGCAAATTTCTGTTCCAAATTATGACTTGTCAATAGTCCGATTAACAACTAATAGCTAACTGCGTAACAATATCATTACGCTTTAAACAGAGCTCTAAATTGGACCAAATATGTTTACATAACGTTACGTTATGGCCCACGATTTTATTATGCCCAATTAACCAGTGCATAGCAGAATATTGCAGAAAAAAACGATTGCGTGACAAACGAGGCTATCGACACGGATACACTGTAAACAATACTGTTTGGAGATGAACAATACTTTCACCATTTTTAATACCTTAAATCGCTATCCAAAGTTTTAGGGAAGACCCCAGATTAAACGAAGGGCTGCCATGTTGCTGTACTTGGGATAGATTTGATTGAACGGGAAGTATAGACACACTCCCTCAAAAGCTCAAGTATCAGAAGCCAATCAAGCAATGGCCAGAGAGAGATTTCTCGGGCCATTGCTTCAGGAATATGTCGAAATAATGAAGCGTAAAAGATATCCACTGTACTGCAGTCCATTATAATTTAAACCTATTCACAGATATAGAAAGAATAATATGGATAAACGTAGAACTTAAGACGACGGCATCAGGTTTTTACTGTCGGAATATCTGAGTCTGTCCGAATTTTAGTTTGCCGAAAAGGTCCAATAATAGGGATGTCAAATAACCGACGTCAAGATATAACCATAGTTTTCTCGCGGTCCATCGGGTATAAAATTGTTTATGTCGATCCTGCAAAATTTCGACAAAGTTTTACCTTTTACCTTACCCCACCCCCGCGTAACCACAACACTAAGAGTGTATTTATATACGTTTTGTTTTTGCGACTGAAGACTAGGAATAGGTCGACTTTCTATAGTTCCGGTGGCTAAGTGGATAAGACGCGTGTTCATCTGGAATTTTCGATGTCAGTGGTGAAGGGAGGTTGGGATGACCTAGTAGTCTAGGTCACCTCAGTCTTGCGGGTGTTGTTTCGATTCCTGGTGTGAGCATATGTGGCTTGAAGACAGGGGCGCCTTCTCAATCTCGTGGGTTTACCCCGGTTTCCTCTCACAGCAAAGACCCCTGTCCGTGCGCTAAGATAATAAGAAAATGAAAAATGAAAATAAGACAACTTGTCTGCGCTATCAACCTCGGTGGAAGCGGACGTTAAACTCTAAGAAGAACAACAACAACACATCAGTGGTGAAGGTCGGATGGTCTGACATGGACAGCTGTCTAGTCGTTCGGATGGCACGAAATACCGAGGTCCCGTGTATACATTGGCGTGCACGTAAAATATCCTTTGGCAGTTGGAATATAAGAGTAGACCATAGTTCCGCTGCCCGGGCAAAATTTCCCTCATAGCACGCTGTATGACTTATGCCCGTCTCCATGATCCCAGTCGGAGCAGAACAGTATGACGTTAAACCCCATTTCATTTCATGTTCATTATCACCCAAGATAAACGTCAGAATCCACCAAATGGCGCTTGTGACACTTGTTACCAATCATGACCACGATTCTTTCTAAAACTCTGTCCTTGCTCAGTCATAGAGGAACAGCGTTCGATAGTCGGATGGGATAGTGAACCCGAGGTTTCGTGTACAAGTTGTTGTGCACGTATATTTCCCTAATAGCAGAGTGCATAGCGTAAGCCCGAATTCATTATCCCGGTTTGTTCAGAAAAGTAGGACCCTAAACCCGATTGCATTTTACAATTAAGTCTGACAGGTACAAATTTGTGAATGCATGCGGCCACAGTTCTTTTTAACCCCAACCCTTAGCCCCCGTTAGCATCTCAGTGATCTATTGACATATTTCGGAGAGATGAAGATTATTCCGTAATAGTGCACATGACGTCCACATACTTTGACAGACGTAAAAAAGAGTAGAATGACAGCTACTGATTGGTTTTGAAGACCCATTAACTAAGTCATTCATACAGATTGTAATTGCCTTTAAGACTTTACAAAACACAAGTGAGCTGTTGTCATTGATAAAAATAGCCTCAACTATCTCGCTAGACTAATATTATTACAGTAGACAGCAATGTGTGCTATTTAAAAGCCAAGTACTGGAAAACAGGTAATTATATCTCATACAATGAAAAATAATATATGAAAATGTAGACAAACCTGAACATTTGCAGATTATCTTGATTTATTCGATATCTTGACGTAAACAATATTTACAAACAAAGTTAATGTAGGTTACTCCTTGTGGCGTGACTCGATTGGATAGGAAACTATGGTGTTCCCTTTCGGCCACTTTGGAGAGATAGATAGCGACTGTGTATAGACCACTGTATGTTCTTCTATGTAATAGCCACGTATATTGTAATATCAAATTGAATACAAAACACGATTTTATTTGATTTTGACATAAATTATGTTTAGTAAAGATAAATGAAAGGAGTTTCCAAGGTAAGACAAGACTTAGTGCATAAAAGCTGGACGTTAAAATATAAAGATCCGGTAACACGTTCACCTTTATTCGTCGTAACTTTTATCTTCAATTAGTAAAAGGCATTTTTAGCCTACTCATTTCATTCCAATTCATGACAACGGCATCTCTCTGTATTTATCAAATCCCGTATTACTCATTCAGATCAACTTAAACATGCATTATGCAAGAGCTAAATCTGCCTATTGCAGGTCTTTCTTATAAATTATTACTTAGACATCAATTGACTTACCAAGACCATAATCAACTCTCGATTCCACCGGATCCTCTAGATTTTCAATAGATTTAATTACGATTTGCGGTTGATTATTTAACGTAAAAATGGATAATCGAGACTTTGTTTATTATCGTAATAACGGTAGCAATGATAATGGAGGCTACACTGCCCATTTAATATTATGAATATTACATAGAAAATGTTGGATGCTTTGTACTGAATGAGTGTCTTCAATAAACAAACAATCATATTGTCAGTAATAAGATATTTTGTATGCCATTATTCATCATTCATATTTTAAAATTCGAAAATATAAAGCATTACTATGTGAGATGTCTTATATTTTGTTCTTTTTATTATAACTTCCATACGCATGCCTGTACGTGTAGTGTTACATATAAACTATAATTGTCCAGCTTATTATAGCTTAGCCATTCAATGTAACCTTCATACTCTAATCAAATAGATATTCTTTAAATGTAAACATTGATGTGTCCGGCTTATTATAGCTTAGACATTCAACGTAACTTCATACTCTAATCAAATAGACACTCTCTAAATGTAAACATTGATGTGTCCGGCTTTTTATAGCGTAGAAATTCAACGCAACTTCATCATACTCTAATTAAATAGACATTCTTTAATGTAAACATTGATGTGTTTCTTAATTTTTATTTTGTTAAAAGGATGTCTCCTTTGACATACGTACATCATCAATAAAATTGATTTTCTTTTTTTAAAAAAACGACATCGTTATCTCTCTTTGGGCTTTTCAAAGTAACGTGCTTTTCAAAGTGGCTGATATAGAGCACCATAATAAACTGTGTAATGTAAGACAAAATGGAAATACAAAGAATCCTGACGTAACTTTAAAAACCTATCCTACTCCTTCAAATCGTATACTACTCTAATAATACAGTTGTCCTTGCATTGTGGAGTCGAATGACAAAAATTCGAACTATAAACCCCTTGCCAACTCTATGCATTTTGTAGCATTGGAAAATAATTAGTTTTATTAAAGAATACAACATTTTTTTAGTCGCGGAAAGTAGTAGTAGTAGTATATAACAAGACCAAGTGTAAAGTATTACTAAAGGTAGGCAACCCTAGTTAATAAATTGGAGTCAAGCCACTTTATTTTTTTCATTTGGAAGTCAGAAAATCCGGAAAACAAATATTATGCTTAACACATAATTCAACAATTCAATACATCGCCCCCACCCCCCACCCCTAAACCGCACGCCAAATTAAAAAAAAAACTATTGGGTGGGTCGACCTAGAAATCTAGCTTAATATGAATAATGAGCTAGTTTCTAATTTTATCCAAGGGCACCTTCCATCGCATGTGTAGGATTAGATCTTGTTGATTCATTTTTTTAAAAAGCTGAGATCTGTTATAATTGCTCCGACTTTAACATATATCTATAATTTATGCATATCTTAATATGTATTTCCAAATATTTTTAGATCAGCTAAAGTTCCGCCTTTACATAAGGCTGGTTGTAAAACTGATCAGAATAATTTTCGCCCAATATCTATTTTACCTATATTATCAAAACCACTTGAAAAACATGTGTCTAACTGTCTAATAGAATTTTCAAACAAACATAATTTATTGTATGCTAATCAATCAGGTTTCAAACAAACTAGTTCTTGTTTAACTGCCTTGACACATATAACAGAAAACATTTATGATAATTTGAATTCCAATTTGTTAAGTGGATTAATCTTTTTTGACTTCAGAAAAGTGTTTGATTTAGTGAATCATAAATTATCATTACAAAAGTGTGCCTTATACCATTTATCGAAATCTTCCCTATCATTTCTTAAATCATATCTTTTTCGCAGAAATCAGTGTTCATCTATTAATGGATACAAATCTTCATGGGGTACCACAACAATCTGTCCTTGGTTCCTTACTTTCTAATATCTTCATTAATGACCTGCCTATAAATGTGTCTTCTAATTGTGATCTATTTGCAGTCGACACTACGGTTTATACTTCGGCTGCGAGTTTATCAGAACTTCAAACTAAATGAATAATTCCATGTTGATAAATATAATGGAAACTAAAGCTATGCTTGTAACAACTCCTCAGAAAAGACAATTTATTAAAGAATCCCTGGATATTCATTGAAGGTAAAACAACTGAAGTAGTGAACTCTTTTAACCCTTTCAGACCCGAAGGGACTCTTATGTCCGATCATATAGTGAATACAATGTTGCAATGCATATGTGTATTATGGTCAGTATTTCATTATAAGTCAGTTTTAGGTAGGTTTAAGGTTGGGCTGAAAAATGTAGCGTTGGTGCAAAGAAATTTGTAGAGTGGCATTTCATTGTCAAACACAAAATCACGATGACTTTTTGTAAGAAAATCTTTGGTCATGTTTGAAGACACCGAGAAAGTTCAAAGTAACTAAAATGAGTGTGATTGTTTTATGAAACTTTATTTAAACCATTTCATAAAGTTTATATAACAATTTGGTAATTTGCAATTAGTGACATAATTGTTTTTGGTGGGACGTACCAGTCCCATCCGACAGATTGTACACCTCTATGGGTCCTAGGACTCTGAAGTACAAATGCGCTTTTTCCAAATTTATGTGGCCTTTCCTTTGTGAATTGGTTGTTATTTCTAAATGTATGCTTTATATAGATGACACAGATAGATAATACAAGAGACCTGTGGAATGATATATGTTTTCAGAAAATCGTGGTCGATGTGAGGTTTGTTCTAAGAAAAACATAGAATCTCGCCCTCGGAGTAAATTTGTGTTACATATAATGTATTCTTATTCTGTAATAAATCAAAAAATTTTTTCTAGATTTTCATGGTGTAGTCGGGCATTAACTACACATTTCTTTTTTTATGTTAAAATTGTTTACGCCATTTGTTGAATGAATTAACTAGGGATTATTGTTTCAAATTGTTGAGAAAATGTAGTTTTCTTAATTCTTTCAATTGTCTTTTTAGTGTTGCGGATTAAAGTTATGATGAAAATACATATTTCAAGAAAATTTAACCTTTTTGTTTTTATCTTTTTCGTATTGAAAATTAAACCCTTTACGTTTAAGTCCCATCCCCATCAGCCAAATTTGTAAAACTTAAAAATAATTTTGTGAATAGCCTAACCAAACCAAAATCATCTATAAAATATCATAAAACACGAAATTATTTTAAAAATTAACCACTTGGGCCTAAAAGGGTTAAACTCTAGGTGTATATATTGATCAAAACTTGAATTGGAAGGACCATGTTAAGATGATAAGTAAAGCTTTGAACCAGAAACCAGCTACTGTATTACAATTCACATTTCTTGCCATACATAGATTACTGCCCTCCAGTTTGGGATAGCTGTAGCAAAACTGTATATTTACTCCTTCAACATCAATAAAATCCTGACTTCAAACTCATTTTTAATCAAGAACATTCTAATGACTTGCCCCTTTTTCTAAGGAGATGCAAGCTTCTGAATATAGAGACAAGACATAGAGTTAAATCTGTCTATTGCAGGTCTCTCTTTAGGCCTTAAATGTTATCTAAATTATCAATTAGACATTAATTAACCTATCCAGACCATAATCAACTCTAGATGGCATCGCTAGCCTGCGATCTTTAGTGGATTATGAGCCGATTTATTCCATAACTTTCTTTCACGATTTAACGATTAAATGGATAATCGAAACTATGCTGTTTATCGTACTAACTTTAGTAATGATGATTGAGGCTAGTAGGATGTGAGGCTAAAGGTCTAACAAATATTTAACCTGAAATATAGCATCTACATATATTTAGTTTTCTCACTAAAATAGATATGGCCAAAATTAAATAATACTGTAAAAGGAGTCACAATATTGTAATTGAAGAGAAAAAATAAATTAATGTAGTTTAATGTCTTACTGTTCTGCACCAACCCATATAATGAAGATGAGCATACGTCATACGTGATACTTGGGGAGGGGGGCATTGTACGTGTACAGCTAGTATGTAAATGTCATCATCAGTGTGCAAGGGAGCAGCGGTGACTCAGTAAAGGGTTGGCTCACTTATCGGACTGCCAAGGGTTTGATCCTAGTCTGGCGTAGTTCCCCCTTGTCCGTGGCTCACTGATCAGGAGATCCGGGGTTTGATCCCCGTGTTGACCTAGATAGTCCCCCAAACTTTCCAGCTTTGTTTCACCATGTCAGTTGTGGGGTGGGGGCTGTGATGGGCAGCGTCTAGTTATTTGGATGGAATATAAAGTGTAGACCGTAACGATGCTGTATGGCGGGCGTATACATACGTCTTCATTATCCCGGTTGATACTGAACAGTTAGTCATTAAACTCCATTTGATTTGTTTTTCTCTTCATTACAATTGCCACTCCCATACAGTATTATTTAGCATTTGCCATATATCTATTTTAGTGAGAAAATTACATATAGATGCTTTGTTTCAATTCAAACATTTAGCCCCAACTCTTATCTGAATTAAAAGTTTACAGATATATTAGTAGAAATACTGTTTTGGGAGAACTTCTATGTCCCCCCCCCACACACACACT